TAAATAAGAGAAAAAAGGAGGAGTAAAAGGAACAGAAAAGAGACAATTCAGTGACGTAAAACAGCCTTTTCATTTTGCTTGCCTCCTTACACATTAACTTTTGTTTGAGTACCGTTGTGGCATCCCTTTGTTTGAAATTTCCCACATTTCCCCATCACAGTCTCATAGATAGATGGGCCTACCTGCCCCTGGTGCCTGAACTAGGAAGTTTGACCTTTGACTCAGCCATGGTTCCAAAAGCACCTCAATATCACTCTCTTTATGTTCAATTCGGCCCCCTCTCAGCACATTACCAGGTTTTCTCACTTGTAGAATACAGAGCATATTCAACATAGCTGAGTTTAATGATTGCTAGCAGATAAAAAAAATTAATGAAAAAAGGGAAAGTGTTAAATGCAATGAAAGTTCTTGAACTGGTAAGGGTCTCAACCCCCAAAAATGTCATCCTATGCTCCTTTGTCTCAGAAAATAGCTTGAAGCTTCAGATAAAAGATGCGGAACAACACTGTGCAGATTAATAATGTTCTAGTAAGGTCTAGTATTGTCTGTACTACTCATGGGTACATCATGTGAAGATCAATAAAGCTCAGAAGAAAGATCACTGAATAGAATCATCTCACAGAATGCACAACAATTCTACAGTGCAATATTTTAACTACAAATGAAGAGTTCTGCAAAAGCTTCTGACTCAAAATCAAAAGGAATCCAGACATCTCTGGTTCAAATCACCTTCAATATCACCATGAAAAATAAATAATTTAATATTACCAAGCGTTACTAAATACAAATTGGCTAAAATTATTTTGAAGTAATAGAAATGCGGGAAACACTTAATGCTTCTTTAGGACCACTAAACAATTAGCAAGCAACTAATAATGCCTTTGTACATTAAAACATATCATCTAAAATGTGTTATAAGGTTTAAAATTTGCATAAATAAGTCTTCTGTAAATGTATTATTTTGTGAGTAACGGGTTAAATATTAGTTCATTGTAATCCTTCAATTACAAGTATGCTTAAAAAGACCTGCACTGCTTTTGCAATGAGGTACAGAGCTTTATAATAAAAACAGAGGTCATTTTCATATGAGACAGCAACCAAAAGAGCCTGTGTAATTCTAAGGGATGAAGAAAAGCTGGGCTACCTCTCCTATTAACTTTTAGCTTTTCTGTCTATTGTTGTGCATTTTGTCTATTTCACACACTACTATTTCTTAATCTTACACTGCATATTGTTAACCCCAGAACTCCAGAAGTCGAAACCAGCTTCACCTCATACCGGAAGACACTGCTGACGGCCTTGCAAAAGTAAGCTGGCTAGGTGAGCGGGTGTCCAGGCAAGGCTAGCGAAGATAACTAGGATACCACTTTCCAGACTACTACTCAAATATGTCCAGAGTCTAATTTTGCATCGAAGAGACAATGGTGGAAAAGGCAAGCTGCTTCAATTTCCTCCAAGTCCTTAACAGCTCCTCTGCAACTTCAACAGGTTCACTGTGGAAAGCATCCTGACCAGCCGCATCATGGTCTGTCTGGTATGGCACCACTGCTGCTGAATGCAAGGTCCTGCAGTGGGTGGCGAAAACACATTCAGCACGTCACTGCAGCTGCCTTCCCACCCATTACAAGATATCTACAACAAGAGATGTCTGAAATAAAGCAATCAACATCTCCTATGACCCACCACTCCCTCTTTCTACCTCTGCCACCTGATAAGAGGTACCAGAACAGCCAGATCAAACTCAAGAATAGTTTTACCTGCGAGCTACTGAATTGGTCACACCAGTAGCACCAATCAGAATACACATACTTTATACTATTACTGATCTAACCCTGATCCTCCTAGTTTACTCAGTATATCTATACACTGAGCTCCACTAGCTCATGGGACTGTATGCACATTGCAATTTAACTGGAACTCACCATACTTGAATATTTAACATGTATACTCACTCACTTTAACATTTATGCTGTAAGCTGTATGTTTGAACATTAAGCCTCTAAAGCCCATTTACCTGGATTGAAAATAACAACTGTGATGCTGTTTACAAACAATAATGTAATTTGCACACCAAACCTGGTTAACCTCAACATACTGTACACTTTCAATTAAATACACATTAAAACACCTAAGCTGTAAGTTGCACAAGATATGTTTATTATAGTTTATTTATTATAGTATAGTAACCAGAGTTTGCCCCTTAAATTCTACCTCTGCCTTTTGATCTTCTGTTACTGTTCATGCAAGCATCTGTTTACATTGTCTATACACTTGTAGTCTTTGTGCTTTTATCTATTGTCTTTGCACTGTTGTGTTTTTTTTTTTACTCTGTTTTTTAATCACTGCACAGAGAAGTAGCCAGACAGTGTTTCATTACACTGTACAAACCTGTGCTGGTATAATGACAAAGATGAACTGAATTAAAAATGAATTATGATGTTTTTGAGAAATAAAACCATGCAAATGTTGTAAGCTGAGCTCAGGAATAAAATAACAGCCAAGAAAATTGTTAAGGATATGGGTCTTTTAAAAATTCTGTCTTGCAAGTGTCATGCAATTTATGATTAGACTTTCTAACATAGTAGGCTACTGATCACTGTCAAATTGATTCCCTTTTTTTTTTTAAAGCTATGATCCAAAACACATAACATGTACACTTACAATTGAATCATGATGATTTACTACGATATTTAATCATTGTGAGTTCAGGTAATTATTACCGGTCCATATTCCTTGATTAGGATGTTACATGAAGGCATATACTGGTAACTAAAATAGTACAATTATTTAACACAACACATTATTCAACAAAAAATGACAAATTTGCAGAAGACCTAATTAACACATAAATGCATTTACATTTCCAAGCTTGCTCACTGTTTAAACAGGCATTACTAACTGCTTGGTAGTAATCATGTTCAGTAATCGTTGCAAAGCAGACTTTTAAATAAAGTGTTACTAAAGTACGGAATGAAAGTTTGGACCCATTTGCCATTAAAGGGGCAGAACTGCTGATTTAACACTACTGACCACAGACTAAAAGAGCTGATCATCTGAAAAACATGACTGCTGAAGGAAACCAGCAGAAGTGTCAAAATCATGGTTTGAGTCACTGAAAAGAGGAACCAGAATCAAGCCGAGACAGTAAGCTACTCTTACTGACTTCCTTGACAGCTTCTTTAGCTGATAAAACCAACACAGCAGCTTCTGTTTGTTACTGCATGTGCATAAACTTAAAAAAATACACTTTACCCATAGGATGCTAACATATGTATGTATATATATATATATATATATATATATATATATATATATATATATATATATATACACACACACACACACATATATATTCATTACCTTAACAAATAATTAATGTAATTCATAAATGTAATGATATATGTGATATGATATAATTCATATGATTTACATCATGTACAAATTTCTGCATTACTAAATCATTAACAACAAATAAAAAAGTTTCCAGAGTGGTTTAGTGTGAAATGTTCCATTATAGAGAAACTTGTTCACAGTGGTGGTGATAGAAACCAGGCATCACAACTCACTGCATGTGCCCCTCCACTGTGAATACATTTGAAACATTGCATTTTAGGGCAAAATCTTTTTAACACAATGTCTCAGACGTCAGGCAGGATGTTCACAGCCATTTCATGTAATAACTTTCTGTGAGGGAGCTTTTAGAGGTGGATGCCTGGTTCCTATCACCACCAGCATTTCACACCAAACCATTCTGATTGACTTTCTAAAGCTTTCTAAGATGTTGGCCTGGTATTCCATTTAGTGTAGAGAAGTATGTGCAGGGCATTTTAAGGCAAAACAATCCCTAAAGAAAATGTTTTTTTTTTCTTTTCTTCAGATTTATCACTATTTAACCACCATTATCTACCTTTGAGATGGTTTCTTGGCTGATGAGATGGGAACCATCCATTCCCATGCATGAACATTGCATTTATGTGCTTTTCCAGTGCAGCCTGGGTGGGCAACGTGCCTGAGTTTGTTTTTTCACTTTAACACTGTTTTAGTGCTTTTCTTGACTATTTATTTATTCATGCTTTTTATATATTTTATAAGTGTTTGGGTCATGCATGTTTCACCAAAACAGCAATTGATATAACTGTGCAGAAAGAGCTTTTCGTAAAGAAAAACACTTAAAGGGAACAAAATGTACAATTTCAGGATTTTTTTAATTAAACTGAAAATAAGATTTAAAGGATGCAAAAAAAGATATACAAGCTCAAGCATTTAAAGAAATATGGAAATATACAAAAGCTATTGTTTTACCATAAGGACAGAAGATAATGCTGAAAAACTCTAGATTGATTCTAACTTGACTAATTTAAAATGCCTATATTTAATACACATCTGGATTAAATGTACGTAACATAAATGGAAGATAAATGGTACAGTAGATAAGAGCACATCCTAACATCATGTAAGAACTGAAATGTCATTTACAGTAAGTTCTGGCTAGAAACATATTAAAGATAAAATAAACCCATTTTGTTAATAAGTTCCCCAAGAAATCTTGATAGAGCTTACAGAACTGCAGTTGAGTTAAACAGGTTTCTTCTGATTTCCTCAAGGATTTAATACAAAGTCAGCGCTGGAAAATGTGTAATGTACTGATTATGATCAACACGAAATATAACTGCAGTTTATTGCTGCAGTCCTTTGGAAATGAAGGGTTTAACAGTTGATGCTGGTTTTAGTTGTGTCAGTGCTGAGGTTTCAGCTCTGGTAGAGTGAATCTGACTGGTTTGTTTTAAATCAGCGATGTCCAATCTTATCCAGTAAAGCAGGAGCACACATGATCAGTCATTTGAAGACTAAAACTAAATGCGTAAACAGGTGGAATAAGGTGTGCTCCTGCTTGTTTGGAATGAAAACCTACAGCCTTGTTAACCTGCTGTGGATTAGATTTTACACCCCTGGTTGCACACTTGGATTGATTTATTTTGATTATTTGGTGTTTATTGGTATTATGGTATACGACTCTTGTAGACTGAATCTGATTGGATGGTGTTGGTGTCCAGGCTCTGGTAGACTGAATCTGATTGGTTGATGTTGGGGTCCAGACTCTGGTAGATCGGACCCATGCTGATCTTGTTATGGTTTCTTAGAGGACCATTTTCATAATCACCATCAGCCTGCAACCACAGTAACACACACAGTAATGGAGAAAATAGCTAAAACCTTAGTCTTCATATCATGTTCATCCATTTATGCAGAATAATTCTCAATGTGTCCATGACAGCAAGGGTTCGCAACTCTAGTCCTAAAGATCTACTGCTGTGGAGATTTTTGGTTAAACACACCTGGCTTTTATATTCAGATGCTCCACATGTCCTGAACTATCTGGGTCAGGTGTGTTAGATTAAGGTTGTATCTAAACTTTCAAGAGCAGTACATCACCAGGAACAGGGTTGGACACCTCTGTGTTACAAAAAATCAAATCCTAAAGACAAATGAAGTCAAATAAAGTTTAACTGTTTACTTTATGCATCATTAATTCAACAATATCTAAGTTTTCCCGCTGCATCCTATGAAGGCTGCAGTGTACAAAGTCTACAATATTTTATTACTTTAATAAGAAAAAAAAAATGAAAATGCATTGATTTTTTTTCTGTATATTTTACACTGTTGTTGGTGACTTGTATGTTATATTTGGTTATAAGGAGAAGTAGGTTTATGAGTTTTTTCACTCACTGTGTTCTGTGTTCTTTTCTCAGTGTTTGTAGAGACAGACCCTGCAGAACAATTGAAGATGTTAATCAAAGAGCTGTATTTAATCTTCAATAGAGGAAATATTTCATAACTGGGATCTAATTTATACTCATATTAAAGTATTACATTCCTACCAAAGCTACTTTTATGAGCACAAACAGGTTTTTCCAGGACTGACATTAAGCCAAAGCCTGGATTTAACCATAATTATGAATTGTGTTTTTGGTTGTGTGTGCAGTACCTTGTGTCCATTTTTGTCTCAGTTTGCAGATCAGTGCTGATTCTCCAATCAGTCCAATGAGTAGCAGAACCACACAAACACACAAAGTGATGACAATCACAGTGGAGAAATCTGTAGACAAAATATGAAAATAATTATCATATTCAGAACAAATTTATAGCTGTGCCTGGTGATGATTAACTGAGTTATTATGGTGAGAGTCCCCAATGATGATGAAAATGTTTATTGATTTACTTCATGCAAAACACAGCAAGCCTGTCTTATTCCCACGAGTATATTTCACTCAGTTTCAGTTTAGTTTCACATCTATTAAACCTAGCTTAGAAAAGATTGTTCTAGAAACACAGCTGCACTGGTTAAACGTGCACAGTGAGGCAGACAAATATAATGCATGTTCAAAAAACTGCCTAGGTTAAGCGCACATTTTAGGACTGGTAAATTTATAAAGTGATAAATTCTTTAAATTCTTTACTTTTTTTAAATATGTTGCAAGAATCAACATTTAAATAAAAAATCCATAACATTCATAAGTTAACACATCACATGATGTGCTGTTGTAGTGTTTTCAATGTAGTACAAAAATAATTCACAAATCATTGTTCTCAGTTTTAGTTCTAATTTAACTTACCGCCCAAACGTTTTTCTGGTTTGGGTTTGTGGTAACAATGTACCAACAATTAACAAATTTAATAGAAAAAGTAGAGCTGAGAGCTCCAGGAAGCTGAACTGAAAAAAGTACCTTAAATAGTAAGTTTTCTCAGAAACTCTGCTTAACTAAAGTAGCACAAAAACATCCTCAAAAATGAAACACTAACAGACATGTTTTGTGGCACCTTAATTAAGAAGCATGTCTGTTAAAAGCCACTATTTATGAAACATTCTTAAAAACATATTAATGAAGAAATTTTGGGAAATAAGCCTAGAATGTTCAGCACTCCAGCAGCACTGCTGTGTCTGATCCACTCAGACCAGCGCAACACAGTTCAAGAGTTGTTGGTGCATTGTTACTGAGTTACTAAGGAATATGCTGTACAATGTTACCAAAAAAGAGAACAACATGCACTCACACACAACACATTTAAAATATATACAACAGTCTATACTGTTATATTGTAATACCTTACCAGACTGGCCTGTGATTTCTTTCTTCACTGTTGTGGATTTCACATAAAAAAAAAAAACAGAAAAAGAGGGGTTTGAGATACATGAGATAGCATATTTCTATATTACCATATTATTTAGGTTAAAATAATTGTGCATGTCACAATTTAAATCTTTTTTGACAATTATCAAAGCAGATTATGCTTTAGACAGTTAATAAGCTCCTAGTGTCATCAGAAAAAGCAAATATTACAAATGGAGTTTGTAGCAGGAGCAGAGCAAGAGAACTGACTCTCCTGGGTATCTGATAATCATTTTTTCCTGAGTCTCTGACAATATGCAGTCTGTAGGAATCTTCTAAGCCACTTCTCCTTCAGGGTCGCGGGGACATTATACCATTTCATCAAAAACATCAACACATTTAAACTTGACGGCAGCAACGCATCTCAAAAAAGTTGGCAAAGGGGCAACAAAAGCTGGAAAAGTAAGTAGTACTAATATAAACAGTACTAATAAACAGCTGGAAGAGGAGTTTGCAACTAACTCACATGACTGGGTATAAAAAGAGCATTTTAGAGAGGCAGAGACTCAGAAGCAAAGATGGGCAGAGGGAATTGGGGTTGTAAATTGCAATGAGCTTTGAAATGAAGGAGTCAAGATGTGATTAAAATGCAGTGTTCAGCTTTAATTTAAATGTTCTAAAACATTGCATTAATCCTTCCATTTTCCCATGTTTAAAATGATTTGAACCCTTAAAATTATTGTTAGTTACATTTATTTTTAACTAACAATTATCTATACAATGATTATTTTTAATACTTGGATGTAAATGCTTTGCAGTCAGTGACTGTCAGAAGTCTGGAACAGATGGGCATCACTGAATGCTGAGTTTGCCAGGTTGCCTTTTGTGCAGTTTTGCATGCCCATTTATATCCCTATAATTTGACATACAGTTAATATTATTTAATTGCCATAATAAATGCCATCTGGCGAATACTCTGATTCCTGTGTAAAGTTTTTTTTTAGATTTTGTACCCTATTGCCCAACTAAATGTCCTGAATAAAAAAATAGAATCATTATTATTATTATTATTATTATTATTATTATAATTATTATTATTTATTTATTTATTTATTTATTTATTTATTTTTGCTTTTTTAAAATGCCAATTCATGTTTTTTTTTTCCAGGAATGTAGGATGAGGACACATTATAATGACGCTGCATTACTGCTTTTTTTCATTCAGTTATGAAAATCCAGTCTGGTTGACACTGCTGAGTTCCCCAGCTACGGTTAATCTTACAGAGAGAAGCTTCTGGAAACAGATTTGGAGTCAGTTACACTTGTGCAGTGTGATCAGTACTGAAACAGTTTGACCAGCTGACCTTTGACGTGTAGTGTGACATATGGTGTGTGGTCATCAGCGTTGCAGGTGTAGTCTCCAGAGTCCTCTTTAGTCAGATCTGAGATGAGGAGAGAGAAATTTCTGGAATGGTTTTGGTCGAACATCCAGACTCTGCCTCTGTAGGATTCTGTATCGTTACACACTGCAGTCTGATCTTTAGTCCATGTGACTCTCTTAGGGTAGATCTTATTTTCGTTTCTGGGACAGGGACAGGGCAGCAGAACAGACTCTCCTGGAGATCGAGTGAACGTTCTCTCCCTAACACACAGCGCAGTACAGCCTGCAGACACACAAATACAAATACACATTATCATCATCTCTCAACAACAAGTAACACATAATAATTTGATTTCTCAGAGCATTTATTTTGATATGTCAATAACATACCCGATCAAAAACCATCATTTTGAACAAGAATACACTTCACACTTCAGTGTTTTTATTGTTCCTCTGATGCACCAGATCAATAATAAGCATTTCCATGTGAATCGTGTTCTGAATGCGTGTGCACACTCATTCAGAAACTCACAGTGCATCCAAGAGTAAAGACAGCATGAAGCATTAGGGCAGATTTTAATCAGTACACAAACATGATGAATGGATCACTGAGAATGTGTTAGCCAGTTCACTCAGTGCTCTTCATTACTCTATACTAAGTGGTACTGATAATTACATTTATTTACATTGTCTATCTGATGTTTTAACGTGAGTTACAAAATAGTTTTCAGCTTATTCAAGACAAAACTGAGATGCCGACACTTTGTACTGAATTCCAGCCATTACTGATTTCTTTCTATACACACTACACACACACACACTATATGGGCAAAAGTATTGGGACACACTTCAAAATTATGGAGTTCAGGTGTTTCAGCCACACTGACTGTTATCAGGTGGATAAAATTAATCACATAGCCTTGCAGTTTCCATAGACAAACACTGGCATTAGAATGGGTTGTACTGTTGAGCTCTATGACTTTTAACATGGCACTGTCATACATAGGATGCCACCCTTGCAAAAAGTAAGTTGAAATTTCTGTCCTGCTAGATCTGCCCCAGTCAACTGTAAGTGCTATTATTGTGAAATGGAAGCATCTAGGAGCGACAACAGCTCAGCCACAAAGTGGAAAACCCTGCAAACTCAGAGCAGGGCTGCAGAGTGCTGAAGAGCACATTGCCTATCCTATGTTGCATCACTCACTTAAAGAACTATGCATAAAAAGCTTCATGAAATGGGTTTCCATGGCTTAGCAGCTACACACAAGCTGAGAACAAAATGCACAATGCCAAGCATCAGATGGAGTGGAGTAAAGCATCGCCACTGGACTCTTTTTCAGGGGTTGGCCTAGAACCCTTAGTTCCAGTGAGGGGAAATCTTAATGCTTAGTACCAAGACATTCTGGACAATTCTGTGCTTCCAACTTTGTGGTAACAGTTGGGGGAAGAACCTTTCCTGTTCCAGCATGACTGAGCCCCAGTGCACAAAGCAGCTCCATAAAGGCACGGCTGGGTGAGTTTGGTGTGGAAGAACTTGACTGGCCCTCACAGAGCCCTGACCTCAACCCCATCCAACACCTTTGGGATGAACTAGAACTGAGATTGTGAGCCAGACCCTCTTGTCCAACATCAGTGTCTGACCTCACAGATGCTCTTCTGGAAGAACAGACAAAAATTCCCACACTCTTGTAGCAAGCTTCCCAGAAGAGTGGAAGCTGTTCTTGCTGCAAAGGGGGACCAACCCTATATTAATGCCTATGGATTTAGAATGGGACGTCATAAAACTCCTGTGGGTGTGACGTATAGGTGTCCCAATAATTTGCTTTAAAAATTTCTTAACAGAAACGACCAACAACATTCTTTCTCTGCCAATTCAGTTTAAAAACACCAAAAACTATAGACAATAGAAGAAATCAGTAAACTGGGGCTTTAAAACATCTGTGTGCCTCACTGATGGTCCATTTTCTTTTATCTTTCAATCTTAGATCTGCAGGTACTGACTTTCTGCAAATCCTCTCCATAAATTCCAGAAACAGTGAGAGACTCTTTCTGTTATTCTGCATCTAAACTCTGGAACTCTTTTATCTTTCACAGTGAAATGGACAAGTTCATTTATACACATTTATCAATAGACATTCATGTGAAAATAATGTTTTTAATGTAGCTTTTCTTTAACTTTATAATGCTTACACATTTTCACTTTTTCAGTTTAATCTTCTATTTAATTTTTTCCATATTATTCTATTTTAATAACTATATTTTTTTTCAAATGCATTATTTCATTGTGAAGCACTTTGAGCTGCTATATGGATGAAAAGTGCTTTATAAATAAAGTTATTCTAAATATTATTTTTCTTATAATTGTTGTAGCATTGACAACATAAGACAAGGAAGGCCATGATTCTGCTTCAAAAAGTGTTCTTTTATTAAACACACCAGCAGAAAGGTGCATACAGAGCACTGAAACAACAGAGAAGATCGCCACTACCAACACAGTGAAGGTGATCCCCATCACACACAAAACCCACACACTCCGACAGAACAACACGAATAACACATACACATACCCCAACAGACAACAACATAAAACAACATATAATGTCTGCTTTCAGGAGGGCGAATGCCTACTATAAGCTTTTGCCTGTGGCCGCTTGCATGGCCATGCCTCCCCATGTTCATTGGAGGAAATGCCAGCTGATTGTGGAATGCTACACAATCCCCACCATCAGCCAATCTCTATTGACCTAGCAGCTCGAGCCCAGTCCTGTCATGCCACCCAGGGCGTTGTTCTCTCTCCCTGCAATGCTGACTTACTAACTGCTCCGCTGCTCACCATAGCACTTCCATAATGAAGCCTTTGACGGTTCTGCTTTTACTTTCACTGGCATATCTCTCACTGGGACCACCATCGTGCCTTGCTGTGCCGTTCTCACTGTTCCCTCCCCTCTCACCCTGCGGAGATGGCGTTGTTCTTGTCATCATGAACTTTCGCTAGGCTCTGCCTCTTTTTATCTCTGCTCTCAAGTTCATGGAAGTGCCTTTCTCATCAGACAACTGGGGGGTGTGTTCTACTTCTGACCCCAAATGTAGCATTGGCATCGAGTAAGACACTTGGGAGGCCATGATTCTTTGCTGCAATAAGTCCTCTTTTATTAAACACACCAGCAGATTGGCACAAAAAGAGCATTAAAACAATGGAGGATGTCAACACTAGCCACAGACTTTAACCCCCTAACACACAAAGCCCACAAACCCTAACAGAACATCACAAATAACACATACTCATACTTATTAATAACACTCAGCAACATAAAAAAACATCAAATATCCCTTTTGAGGAGATTGTGCACTTACCAAAAGCCTTTGCGTGTTATTATCATTATTACGAAATGCATGCATTCTTTCCATGTGAATGAAGTCATGAATGTGTCAGCACAGTTATTGCCAAAATTAATTAAACAGAAAGAGAATGTGTATTGATGTGAAAATGCTCAGCACACTGGAAGCAAGTAAATTCAGTGCAGACTGTTCTGTCTATGTTAAGATCAGTTTAGAAAACAAACTTTTACAGCAAACTGTAAAAATGTTTGAACAAGCTTTTTTTTCGGTAGGTGAGAGTCAGATGTAACATATCACTGTTACACAAAAACCTTGTGTCTCTCTCCATTTCTGTCCTTTTTTGTTGTTGTTCCTGCATAATTTGAAAAGTCCAGTTACTCTTTGCCACGTACCCATTTGTCTCTGTATTGCCTGTGTAGGAAACCAGTAGTTCATAATTAATGAAGAAACAGAAATGAGTAATTTACCTCTAACATAAAGATTGATGGCTCTGGAATACGTCTTCTTGATGCAACACAGATACGTTCCTTCATCTTTCTCAGTGAGGTGAGAGATAATCAGAGATAAATCTCCTGGTTTATTCTGATTCAGTCTCTGAACTCTGTTTCTGTAGCGCTGATTCTGACTGCCATCCTGTGGAAACACTGAGAGTTCCGCTGTGTAGTTGCCTATTATGATCCTTTCCAAAAATCCCCACTGCACTGTCTGTGGATCATCCTGTAGGTTTGTACAGGAGCACGGCAGCACCACAGAGTCTCCCACAGATTTGGTGATGACTGCCCCCAAACCTCTCTCCACAGTGCAACCTGCAGAAACACCACATCACCAACTTCATTGCATATTCACTCATAGCAGAAAGAGTTCTGTAATGTACCAAAATAGGTTATTTGAACTGTACAATAGTGGAACCCTTTTAGGTGCAATACGCAATCATTAAATGTGTTTTTTTAATGATCCAAAAATGACAGATTCATCATCAAAGAGACAATCCATTTAAACTCTCTGTGTACACTGCAGGATTTTAACTCTGATTACACACTCTAGACAACTTCATGTTTTGGTGTGAAAATCTCTTAATCCAGTCCTGTACACAGGTATGTGGGAAGGTGTTTTAAGGGTGCGCTTAAGTTTTAATGAGGATATACATGAATGATGACATGCAAAATGATCTGCTATTTTATTCTAAATTTTTTGGATAATTTCATCAAAACAGAACATGTCATTACATGCTATAATGTGCCAAGAGTTAACAATATACAACTGGTATACAACTGACACATCAAACCACCTCTGCACTCTCATTGTTGTCAAACTTTATACAAATGAAATCAGATTAATTACAGATCAATCAGATTATTGATGTGTGGCACGGTAACCGCTTGTGTCATGCCAACAGTGGAATGTACAACAAGCAGGTGAATAGCACAGCTAAAGCTGCCCAGGTAGAGGCAGGAGAGATGGTTGCAACAGATGTTTTACCTTTATTTTACACTCACAAACAGAAACAATACAAAAAACAAAACCAAAGCTGTCCTTACTTTAGAGACTTCAAAGCTAGATTTTCTAGTTCTTTTTTCTCTCACATGCAAGCTTTTCATCTCACCAGTCCTTTGTGCTGCTTATTGTCCCTCTTCCATGTTTCCTCTCTCTCTCCATCACCTCTCTGCTCCTTTTAAAGGCACCCATACTGCCAAAACTAAATCAGTGTCAGCTGACTTTCAGTGCAGTGTCATCGGATGCCAGAGAAATGAGAGTCTGGCACATACTCTGATCACCCAACTCAAGCTGGAGACCTGACCTGAGCGAACATCCACCCGTTTGAAAGACCAAACACAGGGCAGGAGAGCAAAACTGTGATCGGGGTAGGGACTTGGCATTCACATGCAGGACAGAAGACTCAGAGGCCACTGGCTTTTCATGGGGCATGGAGGCAGGCAGATCAGGGGAGATGAAGGTTTTAACCAGTGTCTGAGCAGCACAAACACTATTCTTCCTAATAGACACATTCAGCTCAGTCTCCTCATTACTCACCACCATCACTGCATTGTTTTTTTAGACAAGCTGGTGTCTTATTTTAGCCACACCCCTGCATTTTAAGGAAGTAAGTCTGCATTCCTGTTCCTCAAGGCACATGGTGAGCAGTTAGATATCACTGTTTTGAAGAAAATTATGAAGCTGAATTATGATGGATTATAAAGTTTCACTACAGAAATACATATTTTCTGCATTTAATAAGCTTTTTTGTGTTTTGATAAAAATATGACTTTACACAATCTGCTAATGTCCTGTAATGCCATTACATCAGGCTATAGTCTATTCCTATCATCAGTGCAGTCATTACCCTACATATTCCAAAACTTCCACCCTGACACAAAACAATTGCAACCAATCAGAAAGCTGGATTCACAAAAACACAACCAACACTGCAGCGCCATCCATTTAACACACGCACAACTTACACTCAGAGAGGCTGACAAAACTAAGTTAAAGTCAGACAGCTGGGATGTACAATGATAAAACTACAAATTTAAACCTGATAATTTCTTTAAGCCAAAAATGCAGGTTACTGCCACAGTGGGAAGATCCAAATGAAGAAGACATGAAAGGTAAATCAAACAGCTGATGTGTGAAGATGAGGAGAAACAACACAACTATCTATCTAACACCTAAAACCTGATTATCCTTTATTTATTAGCTCACAATAACCGGCCCAGAACACTACTGGCTCACCAGGAATTCTCCGGACTTTCCCAATCTCTGACTCAGCACTGACTGAGGCCATGGATGCAGGTTTTTTCAGACACATCGTCCGTATTAAGCGCTGGTTCGATGCTGTTGAATTCTGCAGATTCCACTGTCTTGTCTGTTTTTTTTTTCTTCCTTCTCTGGTTTGCTCACTGCTAGGGCCTGTAAGTCCATGAAAGCAGCCAATCATGGATTCACTCCACTCGCCCCTTCCCACACCCTCCACTTAATTTTCAGTAGGGATATATACACCATATATTAAGTATTCACTGACCCATCCAAATCATTGACTTCAGGTGTTTCAATCACTTCCATGGCCACAGATGTATAAAACCAAGCACCTAGGCATGCAGACTGCTTCTACAAACTTTGGAATGGGTCGCTCTCAGGAGCTCAGTGAATTCCAACATGGTACCACCTGGATGCCACCTGTGCAACAAGTCCAGTCGTGAAATTTCCTCACTACTAAATATTCCACAGTCAACTGTCAGTGGTGTTATAACAAAGTGGAAGTGATTGGGAATGACAGCAACTCAGCCATGAAGTGGTAGGCCACGTAAAATGGCAGAGCGGGGTCAGCGGATGCTGAGGCTCATAGTGCGCAGAGGTCGCCAACTTTCTGCAGAGTCAATCGCTACAGAGCTCCGAACTTCATGTGGCCTTCAGATTAGCTCAAGAACAGCATAGAGAGCTTCATGGAATGGGTTTCCATGGCCGAGCAGCTGCATCCAAGCCTTACATCACCAAGCGCAATGCAAAGCGTCGAATGCAGTGATGTAAAGTGCCGCCACTGGACTCTAGAGCAGTGGAGACGTGTTCTCTGGAGTGATCGATCACACTTCTCCATCTGCCAACCCGATGGATGAGTCTGGGTTTGACGGTTGCCAGGAGAACAGTACTTGTCTGACTGCATTGTGCCAAGTGTAAAGCCAGGGGCATATTTGACCTCAGGAAGGAAATGCTGGGCTTTGAGACGGGACAACTGAAGCTGGTTGTGGCAGCTAGTGTCATGGATAAGACAAAGAGTAGGGCACCAGTGTCATAGGCATGGTAGGTGGCAGAGAAAACAGAGGGTGGAGGAGAGGAATGCTGGTAGCAGCAGACCTGACACGGTGAGCTGGAGGAGGAGGACACAGAGCTCTCTTGTCCCTCCACTCTGGCACACCAGTGGACAGAAGACCCAATGGAGCCACAGTTTGGAGGCCTGCCAAGGTCAGACCAGGACAGTGTGCCTAGAGCAGAGTGTATTGAGGAGCCCAAAAGAGGACTGGCTGCTAGCATAGCCCAGGAGAAGAGCCCCATCTGTGGCAGTGTGTTGGGGTTTGTTATGTTTTTGTTTTGTTTTGTTAAGGGGCTTGATGTGTTATTTTGTGTCTAGGAGTGTGTGTGTGTGGGTCACCTTGGGGGTGACGCCTGTGGCTAGTGGTTACCTCCCTGTGCCTACCTCCCATGCAATTTCAGTGCTATATATCTGCCTTTCTCCCTGTTTCATTAATGAAAAACTTTTCTTGGGTCAGAGTCATGTTTTCATCAGAATCTTATTTTGATCGCTGTTACAGTATTAATACAAGCCGAGGCAGTCACTACAGTGTAAAGGCATAATATGCGCTGCTTTTCTGTAGTGATATGCAGAGTTCCTGCCAAAATATCAAGCAAAATATCTATTATTTTTACAGAGCTTGACCTCTTTACAGAAAAAATAAAACATGAGGATTTGAAATTACAAAGCAAAATACTGAATTCATCTCTGAATTGAATACAGTCCACCTTAAAGTGTGATCAATGCACAGCTGTATTGCTTTCAACCATGTAGTGCCTCAAAATGAATGCAATCTTCTATTTTCTTATGTGTGCATTGCACTTTTTATACTGTTACAATTGTAGTTGAGTGAGGCATTATATGGCTGAATTACTGCATGGTGGAAAGCAATGTAGCAGTGTGTTGATGAATTTCAAGGAGTATTTCATGTAATTCTGACACAAATTCAGCATTTTGTTTTAATATCACCTTAATTTTGGAGTGTGGTTGTTTGGTGTTGGGTCACCTTAGAAATCAGCAAAATTCTGTCAGAATGTGTGAGATAATCTGTTAGAATTTTAAATGTAGTGTGATGTATCCAAGGCTGTAATATCATATTGTTAAGATCATTTGTTTGGAACAATTTATCTGGGCAGTTGCCTGTATGTAACATTACAATTAATATAAACACAGTAGTATGCAAGAAGAATGATGTCTGTCAGTAAAGTTATGAATATGTAGGTTAGATGAACACAGTTATAAGAACACAGGTTTGTTTTCTGACTCGCTGCACTCCAGCCACCAGAAGGATTTATTCAGTTCAATCACCTGATTTAATTTACTAAAGGATTGATTAGATAAACTAGTACTGGATGGTAACTGTAAATGCTGGACATTCTCCAGGAGAGTTTTGGAAATGGTTAATTACACTTTAGTCCTGAGGTGTTTCAGATTGTCTCTGTGTGAATCATCATTAATGTAGTGATTTTGTCCAGGACTGTGTTTAGTCTCTATCTACAGAATTGGATCAACATTGTTTCCAGTGTTGAGTTTCTGTTTAAGCATCTCAGTGACTTGAGTGTTTTGAGTCTATAAGAGAGGCCAGAACTGGAGCCTGTATAAATATAAAGCAGCACTGAACGGAACATTAAAGAACCAGCTTTGATCAGTTTCAGACAAGAACACAGTCAATCCTTAGAAAAGTAGATCAGACAGAGAGGAGAAAGAGCCAATAAAGACATGATAACAACAGCATATCTAGAACCTGAACTTTTCTACATTTCATCTACAGTTCACTGTCTACAGTTCACTACAGTGAAGCAGTGATACACATGAAGAATAACTCACACAGTCGTGTAGACTCACCTGAAGATTCCTGCAGCACAGAGTAGAGCAGAAACACACAGAGCCACATCTTTACTGAGAGAACCGAACTGTTCACCTCCCTCTCTTTCTCTCTCTGGTTCAGCAGTCCACTCTGAGAGTGTGAGAAGTGACACAGATGTTTTTACTCTTCAGCTCTCTGACCACATCCTGAGAAAACCTCTGCTTTGGAGGCTCCAAAAATAGATTTTGCTCATCAAAATGCTTCACAATCCATACAGACCCATTTAGAATCTGATCATTTGAATCACACTGCACAAAAGGAACATTCACTGTCAGTGTGCTGTTAAATTTAATGGTCATTACCCATTTGAGTGTGTAAATGGATGTACAAAAAGCACACTGTATTTTAACTCTGCTGTCGTTCACTTACAGTAATAGAATGTTCTACAGCAGATGTTATGCTGTCATGAGCTGTTGTGACAGATTATGTTTATTAATATTACAGTCATGTTATGTCACAATTTCACATATTCATCACACCAGTGACAGTGCTTCTAACATAAACCTAGGTTCAGGTGAGGGTAATTCCAAAGATTTTTCAAAATTTTTGCATATTTCAGTGGTTGAGATGTTAGCTGTCATTCAGAGTGGTTTGGTGTGAAATGGTTCAGATTTCTTTACAGTGGTGGTGATAGGAACCTGAGGTCACCATGACTACAATACAAGTATTATTTTTTATTTATTACTATTTTATTTACTTTCCAAAACCACCAGTGAACGTAAATGTTTCTTCTGGGTTATATATGTAATGTTGATGATGGTCAAATTGTCATAAAACTTAAAAAAAATAATTTATCTTTGGGGACTATATTATCATATAATACCCTGCATATTCTCCTCCATCATGAATAAATAAAAAAAATATATATATTTAAAGCCAAAACCACCTGAAATATAAAGTTACTCTCAGGCAGCGTATCAATAAGTTTTAACCATTTAATTAAGCTGAAATTCAGAAAAATTAGTAGAATTAGTAAAATTAGTAGAATCATTATGCAGATCAAATGAGACACAATTCTGCTTTATTTTGCGTTGTTGTTTAAAAGGTAAATATATTGCATAACAAAGAAACATAGAATATCTTGAAATGAAAAAAACATCTTGAGCTCCTACACGTTCCTACAATAAGAAGACACATTTCCGTATTTAAAAAAACAGTGAAAGTAGCATGCAGTGTTTCATCATCTCATTCAGGTGGGTCAGGGGGTTCGAGAAGACATTCATTGATTTCTCCTGACCAATCACAGGCCTACACCTGTCTTTGTAATGAATTGACTTACGCACCGATTCTGCTGCTTTCAGGTGTCTACATTTTGGCATTGTCCTTCTTCCTCCCCACCACACCACCAGTATGAGCTTTGTCTGGTTATCCTGGTGTAGGCTCTGCCTCTGCCGTATCTATCCGGCAGGATCAGCGAGGGTCTCAATGCTCTAAGTCCTGGACTGAGGGTGGGGCCTATGCCGAAAACTTTGTAATTTCTACTGCATTGATATATTTCAACTTGTAAAATCATCAAGGATTAAAAAATTGTCTTCTTTCACTGCTGAGTCTTTCTGGTAGAACTGTCAGAGGAGGCTGAGAAGTCAAACTACAGGTTGTGGTTACGGAGGAAGGACAGTTTCTGGAGTGCAACACCCCAGTAAGGGCAGCTGCAGGGGGTGGCTTGGAGATGTTCCCAAATGTCAGATCATTTTTCAGGCAACACCAGCTTTTCATAACAAGGAAAACACTTTGATCAACAAGAAGCTGAATGTTCAAGATAAACATACCGAAGCATTAGCACGTTTTATGCTGACAAAATCTTTGGGGTTTATTTATCTTTTCTTGTATGAACATCTCGGACATATTGTTTATTGATAATTTTGTTGTTTGTTCTGTGTGGATGGTTCCTGTGTAGTTGAAGAAATGCAAGCTGTTGGTCATGTTGTCTAGTTGCTTAGAAGTTACCCTGGGTTCCTTTGTGACCTCACAGACTATTACACACCTTGCTCTTGGTGTAATCTTTGTTGGCCGACCACTTCTGGGGAGCGTAACAATGGTCTCGAATTTCCTTTATTTATACAAATCTGTCTGACTGTGGATTGGTGGATTCCAAGCTCTTTAGGGATGGTTTTGTAACCTTTTCCAGCCTGATGAGCATCAACAACTCTTTTTCTGAGGTTCTCAGTATTTATATGTAACACAACAATACACCACGTGCTGGGGACCCTCTCTGTCTCCAGCAGAGTCACTACAGGTCCCAGGCCTGACATCAGAGTTTTACTCACTAAACCAAAACAATCTAGGTTTGAAACAGTGTATCCTGCTGACAGGGGCCCACAACTTCCTCCGATGGGCTCAGTCCAATAAATTTGCTCAGATTTCCCAGACTCACATCTCACCCTTTTCATTTCCCGGGATTGGACCATTGGTTACCATAGTCACTTTTTGGAGGGGTTAGCCGTCCTGTGTTCATGACACCAGACTGTTGTGGCAAACTTCCTAAAACAGGAATAACAGAGGCAGATAGACTGTTCAGAGTGAAACCACAATAACTTTATTTTCAACGTTTCCTAATGAGAAGTTTAGAGAACTTCTGAAAAACCCTTCTTTCCAACATAGATCTTTGTATGGTTCACCAGCTTATGTTCTGATAACAATACATCCTGATAACAAGATATCCTGTCTCCATAATTTTCTTAAGGGAATATCTTATTTTCATTATTTTCTTGCAGGCACAGGAGACACCTAAACTTCCCTTTTGTTTTCACATTCTCACATACACCTAAATTTGGGCCAAAAGCACCAGAGTTCCCAGTATTTGCTAAATACAAATGATATAATGAAGTAGATTTTTATACATTTATGCTTCAATGTTAAAGTTTATCTTTATTCAGTCTTCATTCAAGAACAGACAAAATACCTGGAGTGGGGTTAGTCACTGCAACACAATTATACAAGAATACCAAACAGATATCATAGCCTCAATACGTACAGGAGATGAAGATTATATTAGAAGCATGGTAATACGTGGAATTTCCACCACAAAAGAAAAAATTAGGTGGAAATAGACATCATAACATAAAGACTTAAGAACAGACAGCTGCTAAAGAGGAACATCTCAGTTCTTTCTGTTCACTTTTTTTCTTATGTGACAGACATCTACCGCAGCTACTAACCACAGTGTTAAGCAAGAAAAAAGAAAACACTACCTCCTTTTTAGTATGAGAAACTGCTGTGTCACAGAATGTGTACATCCAAAAGAGTTTAACTGAAGTACTTTTTGGATTGCATTAGTTTTACAATGGGAGATGTGGTCATCATGAATGTGTTCATTTTTGTTGTATGATCACCATATGATTACCAAAAAAACATTACAGTGACACAGTGTACCATAGTGTAGCAACTATTAAGCAACCATTTGAAAAAGCATTCAATTTAAAATTAAACAAGAAAAATAAACACTTCAGCAAAAAAAAAACAAAAAAAAAACATAAAATGCAGCCATGTGGGAGATTGTTCTGCTGCTTTGTGAGTATTTGGACTTATTTGTTAAAAATCTCCACTAAAAATGTCTGCTAAAGTACCTCATAAATCTCCACACTGCACAAAGTGCTTGGACCTGTACAATTGCCACTTGCATATCAATTTAATTTGTCAGTGCTCCCAATGGCTTAGTTTGGCAGGTTATTCCCTGAGTTCCATGAGCACATTAGCATTGCTCTCTTGATGTTCAATTCACACCATTCTCACTTGTAGCCCTGTTAGTAGGTAACACTTACAGATTCCCACACCCTGCATTTGTTTCTGTCCCCCGTGCTGACCAATGACAGAAGGTGCAGCACCGGTGAATCTGGATTAACCAGCTGGTCTTGTACACAAACCAGTAAAGTCAAAGAAAATAAATGGATTGAGAGCAGTCAGGAGGTTCAGGAGAAGTGGACCTCATTAGACATGCCCTGAAGTCTTAGGAGGAGGTGATTGGGTGTGAGCAGCTGCTGCAACAAGTCAGCAGCTGGCCCAGCACACTCACGTGTTTAATACCAGTCCTTCTGCTAGCCTAGGAAGTCTGGAAAATATGGCAGCTTCCCCCAGTCCCACACAAGAGGTCCAGAATCCCTGGGTGCTCAATCCAGTCCTGAGGTTTGATTGGGGTTAGCATCAGCTCCCTCACCCTGAGAAATATAGAGGGGATCCTGGATGCTGCAGAGGCTTCTTGCTGCAGTGTTCTCTCATCTTTGAGCAGCAGCTTTCTTGTGTTTTCCTCAGAAAGGGCCAAGGTGGCCATCAACATGGGCTTATTAACAGGACGATCACTTCATTGGGCCATCCTGTTGTAGGAACAGGGTGCCAACATTTGTGCCTCTGTAATCCAGTTTACGTTGGACATGCATCAGATCTTTGAAAACCCAGAGGTGGGTCAGGATGCGGCAACTCTCAGAATGCTCCAGGATGACTGCTGTAACAGCGCTCAGCAGGAAGATCGACCTACTAAAGCCCCAGAGACACACAAAGAAAATGGTGCAGCTTTGTAGAGGAGTAGCCATTAAAGTGTAAAAAATAAAGAGAAAAAGAAAAGAAAAATGACAAAAGCTACAAAGCAAAGAGAAAAAGGAAAGAAAATAAAAAAGATAAACTTCTAAAACTGAGAGCAAAAGAGAGTTGTGAATGAAAATAAAGACAAACAGCTCAAAAGCAAAGAGAAAAGCAGAAAGGGATCTGTAAAAAAAAATAAATAAAAAATAAAAAAGACACATGCTCCAAATCAAAGAGAAAAACAAAAGGCACCGGGAAAAGGAAAATAGACAAATTCAGTGGAGTACAAGAGCCTTTTCATTTTCGTTTTCCTCTTGCTTATACAGGATATGAATGAAAGTATTGGGACACCTACACATTACACTTGCCCCCCCTTATTCAGTGCTGTCAGGTTACATCATTAGCAATACATCTGTATGAGCACATTCGTCAACCTAGTCGTTCTCCCTGGGTCAAATTGAACTGTCTCCATTCTCCCCAGCTAGAAGACATCCTGTCTCTATAATTTCCTTAAGGGAATATGCTATTTTCATTATTTTCTTGCAGGCACAGGAGACACCTAAACTTCCCTTTCACATTCTCACATACACCTAAATTTGGGCCAAAAGCACCAGAGTTCCCTCTACTTGCTAAATACAAATGATACATTCATGTTAAGTTTATCTTTATTCAGTCTTCATTCAAGAACAAACAAAATACCTGGGGTGGGGTTAGTCACTGCAACACAATTATACAAGAATACCAAACAGATATCATAGCCTCAATACATACAGGAGATGAAGATTATATTAGAAGCATGGTAATACATGGAATTTCCACCTCAAAAGAAAAATTAGGTGAAAATAGACATCATAACATAAGACTTAAGAACAGACAGCTGCTAAAGAGGAACATCTCAGTTCTTTCCGTTCACTTTTTTCTTATGTGACAGTCATCTACCGCAGCTACTAACCACAGTGTTAAGCAAGAAAGAAGAAAACACTACCTCTTTTTTAATCTGAGAAACTGCTGTGTCACAGAATGTGTACATCCAAAACAGTTTAACTGAAGTACTTTTTGGATTGCATTAGTTTTACAATGGGAGATGTGGTCATCATGAATGTGTTCATTTTTGTTGTATGATAACCATATGATCACCAAAAAAGTATTACAGTGACACAGTGTACCATAGTGTAGCAACTATTAAGCAACCATTTGAAAAAGCATTCGATTTAAAATTAAAGATGAAAAATAAACACTTCAGCAAAAAAAAACAAAAAAAAACAAAAAAAACATAAAATGCATCCATGTTGGAGATTGTTCTGCTGCTTTGTGGGTATTTGGACTTATTTGTTAAAAATCTGGTGCTTACCGTGTCAGAATGGTCAGTCTGTATAAAACTGGCAAAGATCTCATCATTTGTGCTCTGTCTGCTAAAGTGCCTCATAAATCTTCACACTGCAGAAAGTGCTTGGACCTCTACAATTGCCACTTGCATATTAATTTAATTTGTCAGTGCTCCCGGTGGCTTAGTTTGGCAGGTTATTCCCTGAGGTCCATGAGCACATTAGCATTGCTCTCTTGATGTTCAATTCACACCATTCTCACTTGTAGCCCTGTTAGTAGGTAACACTTACGGGTTCCCACACCCTGCATTTGTTACCGTCCCCCGTGCTGACCAATGACAGAAGGTGCAGCACCGGTGAATCTGGATTAACCAGCTGGTCTTGTACACAAACCTTATCAGTAAAGTAAAAAAAAAAATGGATTGAGAGCAGTCAGGAGGTTCAGGAGAAGTGGACCTCATTAGACATGCCCTGAAGTCTTAGGAGGAGGTGATTGGGTGTGAGCAGCTGCTGCAACAAGTCAGCAGCTGGCCCAGCACACTCACGTGGTTAATACCAGTCCTCCTGCTAGCCTAGGAAGTCTGGAAAATATGGCAGCTTCCCCCAGTCCGACACAAGACGTCCAGAATCCCTGGGTCCTCAATCCTGTCCCGAGGTTTGATTGGGGTTAGCATCAGCTCCCTCACCCTGAGAAATATAGAGGGGATCCTGGATGCTGCAGAGGCTTCTTGCTGCAGTGTTCTCTCATCTTTGAGCAGCAGCTTTCTTGTGTTTTCCTCAGAAAGGGCCACGGTGGCCATCAACATGGGCTTATTAACAGGACGATCACTTCATTGGGCCATCCTGTTGTAGGAACAGGGTGCCAACACTTGTACCTCTGTATTCCAGTTTACGTTGGACCTGCATCAGATCTTTGAAAACCCAGAGGTGGGTCAGGATGCGGCAACTCTCAGGATCAGGATGCGGCAGCACTCAGTGGAAGATCGACCCACTACAGCCCCAGTGACACACAAAGAAAATGGTGCAGCTTTGTAGATGGGTAGCCAGCAAAGTGTAAAAAATAAAGAGAAAAAGAAAAGAAAAATGACAAAAGCTACAAAGCAAAGAAAAAAAGGAAAGAAAAGAAAAGGATAAACTGTTCCAAAACTAAGAGCAAAAGAGAGTTGTGAATGAAAATAAAGACAAACAGCTTAAAAGCAAAGAGAAAAGCAGAAAGGGATCTGTAAAAGAAAAAAGACACATGCTCCAAATCAAAGAGAAAAAGAAAAGGGACTGGGAAAAGGAAAATAGACAAATTCAGTGGAGTACAAGAGCCTTTTCATTTTGGTTTTCCTCTTGCTTATACAGGATATGGATGAAAGTATTGGGACACCTACACATTACACTTGGCCCCCCTTTTGCAGCTATAACAGCTTCCACTCTTCTGGGAAGCTTTCTACAAGATTTTGGAGTGTCTGTGGGAACTTGTGCCCATTCATTCTTGCTTGGTGCACTGGGGCTCAGTCATGCTGAAACAGAAAAGGTTCTCTTTCCACAAAGTTGGAAGCATGGAATTGTCCAAAATGTCTTGGTCTGCTGAAGCATTAAGGTTTCCCTTCACTGGAACTAAGGGCTCTCGACCAACCCCTGAAAAACAACCCCATATCATTATCCCTCCTCCACCAAACTTTACAGTTGGCACAGTGCAGTCAGGCAGGTAACGTTCTCCTGGCATTTGCCAAACCCAGACTCTTCCATTAGACAGCCTCATAAAAGTATCTGCCACACACACACACATGGTGCAGCAGTAGCACTCCTGCCACTGGTGGCTCAGCTGGTTGGTTCAATCCCTGACTCAGTCAAGGTTCCACAAACACCTTCATATCACTCTCATTATGTTCAATTTGCCTCTTTGCAGAACATTACCAGGCACACTTCTAATCCTGTTTATAGGTACTACACACCTGTTGCCACACCCTGCACTTGAGTCCTTCCCTTGTACTGACCCATGACAACCAGTTTTTAAACTATAACTAACAAGCAAGGTAGCTAATTGATAGAAATGTGCAGAAATTTCAGCCATAGAAAGTGGTCCAAAATGGCACTTTTGCTTTTTGGAAAGGGAAACACGGACAAAAATGTTGACCGATTAAAAACCAAAGATTAAAAACAGGCCTACAACCAGCTGTCAAAACCTAGGACTTTACAAACCTAGGACTTTTCAATGGTAATGAAACTGAGAAATTGTGTTTGTGTCCTTGCATTCAAACTGTTTTAGCTGCAGCAGATCAACAATGAAAATCTCTTACAACGCTGTGGTTGACAAATTCAGCAAACACAATGATATTTTGTAAATTGTGAAATTTAACTAAAAAGGTCTCAGAAAAAAATGTAAATAAAACATCTGAGACAACACAGGGCAGATACAAAATGTTCTTGTACTGTCTGCACTACTCATAAGTATATCTTGTTTTTTGATAATGAGTACATCATCATTAATAAAGCTTAGAAGAAAGATCACTGAATCTCATGGTCTCTGCAACAGTCCAAAATATTAACTACAAATAGAATGTTAGGCAAAAAATTCTGGCTCAAAAGTAAAGAGAATCCAGGCAACTCTGGCTCAAGTCACCTTTAGTGTCTCCCTCAAAGATAATTATTGTCATATTGCCCAGCCCAACTTGATAATAGTTCAGTAATAAGTAATAGTCGAAAAGCAGACTTTTAAAAGTGTTACTGAAGTGTGGAATGAAAGTTTGGACCTATTTGCCATTTAAGGGGCAAACAGAACACGACTGACCACAGACTAAAAGAGCCGAGGCATGTTCCTCCTCTCAAATTTCAGCTATTCTATAACTTCATTACAAAATCACGAATGTCAGATTTTTTTGCATTTCACGTTTAATCTTTTAGTGCTTTTCAACTCAAGTAATGGGAATAAATGCCTTACACAGTTTTAAATTCACTCTAAATCAAATAATCTGATCCAGCTCATAAAGGACTTGATCATGACCTTTGGGGTAGAGACATGGTCAAGGAACTTTCTACATTGAAAGGTGCCAATGCAGTTTGACTACAGAATATTTTTTCATTATGAGGACGTTGCAGCTTTCTCACAAACCATTCATTTCCATGCATTTGTGTGCTTTTCCAGTGCAGCCTGGGTGGGAGAACATGCTTGAGTTCAAATCATGATTTTTAACACTGTTTCACTGCTTTTCTTGACAGTTTATTTATTAAGATTTTTTATTTATTCTTTGATACGTGTTTGTGTCATGGACGTTTTAATAAAACAACAAATTGATATAAATGTTGTCATGCTTCCCATTGATGGCACTTCTGGCAGTAGTCCTTGCTCTATTTCCCCAACCAATGTTTATTTTTATCTCTATTTGAAGTACTGCCTCTGTTCTCAGAGCTTTTTCCATTGTGTGTTGTTCCTGTGTATTGACCT